TATTTATGATAAATAAAATTTGTTATAACGTAACATGAATTAATAAATAAAAACCAGATAAAGTATGTAAGTTTATAGCATATTTATAGTTACCTGTAAGTAGATAATCTGTTATTGATCTCATTCTCAGTATCGTAAATCTATAGCTGTGAAAATTTTGAAGCTCCGCTTACTGGTAATAAACTACCAATTCTATGATAATTCTGCCATGGAGCCTGTATACCCACGGACCTCGACCATTATTAACTGAGTGATCTATCTTTTCCACCCATAGATCTAAATGAGAATATCATATTATAAGCCGGAATATTATCAAGAAAGAATTTACTCTTACTGTGATTACCAAAATACAAATCAATGAGAAACTTGGGCGACTCCTTCAACCAAGGTAATCAAACTTTTCCTTTCATGCAACATAAGGAAAATGTAGGAATCAACTGTTTCCTTTCAGTGCGACATCTCTCATTAAACCACATAAGTGCACCACAAAATTCACAGGAGTGTTCCGGATCACCCAAATCTAAATAATAATCTGTTCAAAGTATTGTTCAATTTGTATTTTTATTTTTAGTTTAATTTATACTTAAAATAAATATTCAAATTGGATAATAATTTCGAAATAAAGGGAGTACCCGTTCTGATAATCAACTAAACTCGTCAATTGCATACTCTTTACTTCAAAATGAGAGTTCTATTTGTCCTAGTTTAAAAAACAAAAATAAAAATTACTAGCATATATGCATGTAAGTGTTCCCATTAGTATGAGATTAACTCAAACCTAAATGATTCAATATGATTGTGCTCTTTTTGTTTAATAACGATGATCTTGAACATTTCATGAGGTGTGACGAGTAAGTGTTTAATATGGCGTAAAACACATATATCAAACTATGCTATATTTATTTAGATAATCTATTTTTTCAGATCATTGGTTATTAGAAACAACTTCCCATTTATTCTTGGAGTGTAATTATGCAAAGAAGCTATGGGAGAGGATATTGAAACAGCTGTAAATACCGGATTGTACGTATCCAAGTCATAAAGAAGTGGTGGAGATTGTTGTTTGCGTTGAAGAAGCATGGTATAAGGCAAAGCCTCTGCATTGTTCCAATTATGGCAAAATTTTACCATATATATGGAGGGCAAGAAACAAAAAGATATTTGAAGGAAACAATGTTGCAGTAGAGCAAGTGATTACAACACTACAACAAGAGGTAAAGTAGAGAATTAATCTTTGAGCACAAGGAAGATGATTCCGAGTGACCAACAATACTGTAGAAGAGTTGGTTTTATAGTGTAAAGTTTAATATGCCTTGTAAATTTCAGTTTGAATTAATGTGTTCGATTGTTTTAGTGCATAGCTAAATGGTTAGACAATACTTATAAGTTGTGTTTTAGGTGGTTTATCAATATATATATATATATATTGATAAACCACCAAGAATAAATATATATATATATATGTATTGATAAATCACCAAGAATAAATATATATGTATATATAGAGTAGTGATAAATACAGGGAAAAATTATAAGGAAAATTTACAAGGAATGATGTGTCATTCATTAAAACTATGTCTTAACCTTACATGTTTAAATCCTGAATGGAAAGTTTTAAAAATGAATGGCTATGAACAATTTCTTGTCATTTTTCCTTATCATTTTTTCCTTACACTAATCATTATCCAAAAAATATTGAAGTCATTAAGTAGAAATATATGATTAGAGAATTAGGATGAGGATAATTTTATTACGGGAAGGTTGAGCATTTTATTCTTACTAAGGCCATTCAATTTAAAATTAAAAATTAAAAAATATAAAACAAAACTTTTTTAAAACGTAAAACAAGAATATTGGATACTAATTGCTAGGATAAGACAGTTACTGAAAGAAAAAAACAAAAGTATTGCTTGAGTAGGCAATTTATTGGGTGCACCTGGGGGCACCATACTCCCCCTCCTATTTTTTGTACTACTAGTTCTTATTGTACTTTTTTTACTTTTTCTAATAATCTTTCTATTATTTGTAAGTTTAGTCCTTTCAATTTTTTTCTCTCTCTTCTAAAAAAACATCTCTAATATTCAAACAATCATATCTCTCAATCCGTGAAGAATTAGAAAACATGTTACACATGAATTTTATTGTATTCGTCGAGATCTATCCAACAAGATCCATGTCGAATATTTTTTCCGAGTTTAAAAATGACTAAATTCTGAACTTGTACTACTTATCCAATTATTGTCAATGATTATCCAAATTGTTTGTAATACTTATCCAAATATCTTATTTTTTGTTCTTTTCTTCTTTTTTTTTTTTGAAGATGAGTGAATGTAAAAAATATGAATGCATAACAAGTACAAAAAAAAATGGATAATCAGTCCAAACCGGTTGGATAGATCTCGTCGAGCACTATAATATTCATATATAATTCGTGTTCTAATTCTTTACAGATCAAGAAATATATGTAATATAAGAATATCAATCTAAACTAAGTTGGTTATCCATCTTCTTTTTTCTTTTTTTCATTTTTGAAAAGTGAATGTAAAAAATATGATTGGATAAAATAAAATAGGTAATTAGTCCAAACCGGTTCGATAATCAGTATGAACACAACGGATAATCATTTTTCAGTTTATTCATTTCTGTCCGTAAGATTTAAATGCATTTAAAGTTCAAAAGAAATATTCAACATTGATCTTATCAGATAGATCTCGTCGAACACTATAAATTTCATATATAATTCGTGTTATAATTCTTTACGGATCAAAGGATATAAGGAACACAACAATATGAATGTAAAATAAGTTGGTTATCCATCTTCTTAAACTGGATATCCAATGTGTTCATTTTGATTATCCAACTTCTTTGTGGTGGTTATCCAGTATTTTTTTTCCTTGCTCTTTTATGAAAATGATTGTCAAACTTTTTTGTACTAATTATTCAACGTGTTGCACTGATTATCCAATTATTTTCTATTGATTATCCAAATTGTTTGCAATGCTTATCCAATCATTTTTTTATTTCTTTTTGTTTTTTTGAAGAGTGAATATCAAAAATATGATTGGATAACAAGTACAAACAGAATAGATAATCTGTCCAAACCGGTTGAATAATCAGTAGGAACACAACGGATAACCATTTTTCAAAGAAAAACGAAAAACACATTTCTTTATTTCTGCCCGTAAAATTTAAATGCATTTAAAGTTCAAAAAAAATATTCAACATGGATCTTATCGGATAGATTTCATCGAGCACTATAAATTTCATGTATAATTCGTATTCTATTTCTTCGCGGATCAAGAGATATATGCAATACAAGAATCTTAATCTAAACTAAACTGGGTATCCATCTTTCTAAACTAAATATCCACCTTAATTCTGCCCATCAGAATTTAGTCATTTTTAAGCTCGGAAAAAATATTCGACATGGATCTTGTTCGATAGATCTCGACGAGTACTATAATTTTCATGTATAACACGTTCTCTAATTTTTACGGATCATGAGATATGGTCGTTTAAAGATTAGAGATTTTTTTAAAGGATAGAGGAAAAAAAATCAAAGGGACTAAACCTGTAAATTATAGGATGTTATTTAAAAAAGTGAAAAAAAGTTTAGTAAGGACTAGTGGTATAAAAAATAGAAGGGGGAGTATGGTGCTCCGGGTATACTAGATAGAGACTTCTTGAGTATACATATATGCAATAGTGACTTAAAAAAAATAAACTTGTCTAGAAGAGTTTTTATCTTTTTTAAAAAGACACAGCTAACTTAATCCTATATTACGGCATGTTTGATAAAGTCACTTAATGTTTAAAATTATTGAATTAAGTAATTTTTCTTTTCAACATATTTAATAATAAAGAATGAACCTCTTAATGAATTAAGTGGCGCTGAAACTGTAGTATAAAATATAAATAATAAAAATTAGCTTACTGTTTATTCTGTAACTATTTAATGAGTTTAGTATTTACAATTCAGTATTAAGCATTCAGAATTAAATACTAATTTTTATTAAACATGCAAGAACAGTGATTTAGGACATTTGGGTACGTAATATACTCAAGAAGTGGTACAATTGTGTGTTGTTTGACAACTATTTATGTATATGTATACACCATATAATCAATTATTAATATTATTAATCAACGAGTCAAATGCCAATTTTAAATTCACTTGTATTAATCGGTAATTCGGTCAGTATTTCTTTGAATGGACTACTCTGGTTGTACGTCGCAATCTAGTTAATTAATTTCTTGTATATATAAACATCATGTACTTGAAAAGAGCATACTCCCTCCATTTCAAAATGTAAGTCGTTTTAAGTTCGGAGAGATTTTTTAAAATGTAGGTCGTTTTACAAATTCTAAACAAATTAATGACTATTTTTCTAAATTTACCCTCAATAAATGATGCTAATATATTTTTATTTAATCTTGTTTATAGTTTCAGTTTAATTAATGAGGGGTAAAAAAAAGATATTTAACACATAAATTAATTATTGGATGATTGTTTCCTTAGTTTACGTGTCAAGTCTAAAAAGACTTACATTTTAAAATGGAGAGAGTACTAACTTTGTCAAGTTCACAATAAGAAAATAAATTTCATAAATATTCAAATATACTTCATTTTAGCTATTTCGCATGTCTCAAAGATCCATTCAAAATTTCAAACTTTCAAACTCGGGGTTCCATATCACATCTCAATATTGAATATTTGGGCTTTTCTATTCAAACATATACTCGTACTACTTTTTCCTATTCACTTAGCACGGTGTCTTCTGCTAATATTTTAAAAAAATTCTTTCAAATCACTTTATAATGAGTGGAAAACTAACAAAAAGATTTACTTCTTAATTTTGTGTCCCAATTTATGTATTCATTTACCATTTTTAGCAAATGAGAATCATTTTCCTAGGGATAATTACAAAATTTATTATAATTGATTTCTTCATCAATGAGTAAAAGGAATTGTTTTCCAGTTTTCATGGAAATTAATATATCATCCAGGCTTAATAGCTGTTCAATCCCCCCACCACATTACTAAAACTATTCACTTGAATAAAAGATTGAATTGTAGCAAGACACAATCCACATTCCACTTAAACTGAATCGTTCCAAATGTGATCGGTCTCTTCAAATGTTTAGCATACCAGATCAGTTTGTGGCACTTTTTTTCTAAGTGAAATTACCTCAGTAATTAATACCATGTCTTTCCTAAGATTATGTTACCATCTAGTTTGTCATCTTAACTATTATAGCAACTTTAGTCCCAGTTTGACAGATTTCATCTGCTGCAAAAGGTAAGCATCACCAAAAGTTGCACTTGCCAAAAAGGCAGCTGAAGTCTCTCATCCAGAACCAGCAATTTTGTCCAAAACATTAGCAGAAAGGGAGAGAAGATTCAGAATGTTTTCTTCCGCTTGTTTTGCTTCCAAAGTTTATGAATGTACTCTACTCCTTCCTTCAAGGTTGCCCTTCTTCCTTCTTTGGCATTCCATAGCTCAGGTAGTGGATACCTACCACTAGGATTGTATTCATTCACTTCATTTAGAGCCTTAACCACAGCCTGATACACTTCATCTCCATACTCCGCCTTTAGCCCACTCAGTTTTTCGTCACTTTCGTCCAGTATTTCCTGAAAGATAGATTGCAGGAGGTCAGCGCAATCAGGGTAAAGAAAACATAGGAAAATATAACCTGAATTAGAAGGAAGCTAAATGGATAGTAAAAACTAGTTTGGAAAACTAATGGAAAAGAAATCATATTTCCCGGCTACAATCATAACAAATTTACAGAAGATTACAGAATGTCTAATCCATCCGGAGACAAATTCTCCAGTCCCTCTTTTTCTCTTCCTTCCCCATCGAAAATAAAGAACCATGACACGTACAGCTCGCATTTTAGAAACCCTTCTCCAAGCACAATCACAATCAAACTATCCAACTGAAATGTCGATTCTAACATTTCTCCCCCTTTCCCAACGACTGCATGTTTGCAATTCACAGGTTGAAGTTTCCAACTACTATATTAATGCACCATGCAGTACCATTAATATTTTCACGAAAAAAAAGGCACATATACTACAAGTCATGTCGCTTATGAAAGATTCATATACCTTGGCTACTTCGCCATCCATGACGACCTTATAAGGATGCCAATCTGGATCTCTAAGGTGATTTTCCCATAGAGAGGACAATTCTGCGACTTTCACTGCTGCTTGTTTGCCCGGAAACTTTCTCTTGACAGCAATGTGGAATGGCTTCTCATCAAGCTCTCCCATTCTCTTGACACAAATAAATGCACGACTATCTTTCAAACCCTACAGAGCAAGCAGTCATAAAACTGTAAATGAATTATGTTAGCAGGATTAAAAATATGCTTTCCACTGATATTGTATTTTCCCCTGTCAATCACTGGGACATTTACATCCTCCCATTACCAGAATTGGTTGATAGTGTTTGAAACCATCTTGAGAATGACTGACTTAATAATGTAAAGTCTTCTAAAGTTGTATTTTATCCTGGATGAGAACTAAACATGGATAACAAAAGAAACTCTTAGATCTAACAAAAAAAGGCTTTTGATTCTCTATCTTCTTTTTCAGCAAACTTTCGAGAATACTGAACTAAGAACTGAAGTAGCCTTTAAGCAGACCAATGTACAACCCACTCCAAGAATTTCTCAAATTACTGCAGAGAACAGACAACCTCAAATTTCAGTGACTAGTGCCTCAACAGTTGCTTCACTTATTCATTACTTAAAGACGACAATGATACAAGCGCCTCAATTTAATCTGTCTTGAAACTAAGATGCAGCATGAAGATTTCCCTATCAAAAGGCATCAGTGATGCTCAGGTATTGTGAACTTCCAACGGGAAAAAGAGGAAAGAAAACGGCAACGAAGAATAAATAGAATGCTTCACAAATGGAAAATTTTAAGAAGTAATTGAAATATGGCCAGCTACTAGACAAGAACTACTGGTGACACAAGCATAGCCTGCCTACGTTCCCCCATAGAAATACCAAAAGGATCTAGGTAGAAAACACAAAATTTTATCCCATTCTTGAAGAATAAGAAAATCCACCTCGCTAAACTACATGAACATAAAATGTAGCATCCAACGTTAGAACTTAAATTCCTGCATGCTATGAGATCAGAAGGAAGAGGCTCTCATAGTTGCAGTCCAAATTATTATCACCTCGGGGAAAAAAACGTCTCCATCCAATCATGAATAGAAAATGGATTTTCATTGCAAATGCACACAAGATGTTATACTTATCACATTCAGATCAAGATGAAGTAGAACCAAGAAGAACGGTGAATCTTGTCCCGCTCCATAAAAAACTCGCAACCAGACAGGGTGCATAAATTAAATGTTAAAAGTAGAGTCTAAGTAGAATTCTAAATCTGGCCCAGCTCAAGAAACATTTTGCAATCCGATATGGTGGATGATTTAAATGTCAAAAGTGTAGTACCTGCATCATCTCTTTTCGTGCGTCTTGCACTTCATCATTGCCTAACCTTTGTTTGATGGTGAGTGTTTGGTTCACTGTCTCCAAAGCATCAAGTTCTTCTTGCTTCTCCTGGAGTTCTTCTTCAATCAACTTCTTTTTCTTCTCAGCCTCTGTATCACCAACCTCTCCCATGTGTGTCATTACCTCTACGGCACCCCTCATGCGCTCTATCTCTAACTCCAATGCTTGTTTCTGATCAAGTTTGGATTCCAACTCGATAATTTTTTTGTGAAGAGCCTCCTTTTCTTTCTGAGAGAATACGAATAATTGACCAAAGGAAACTTTTTCTAAATACAAGGGAATCATTATCTGAAATAAAAACTTTTACGAAGAAAGGAAACAGCACCTTCTGATCTTCAGCCAATTTCAACAGTTTATCATCTGCATTCTGTTGCTCTTGAATCGCTTTCTCATTCTGCAATATAAATAAACTTACACAATCAGATATTAAATTCAAGTTGCTTTTTTGTATTTTTTCTTTTTCCTTAAAGAACAAACAGCATGGAAGGACAAACCAAATCAATAAACATTTTAAGTTTCCAGACAATAAAAAGGAAAAAGAAAACCTAAGAACCTAGTTTACATTAGGAAGCATCAAAGAGAATATGTCTTCTGTGGCCTCCGAAATGCTAATCCCAAATTCTAAATAAAGTCCTTGAAGAAAATTGTACAAGACATTAAACAGTGGAAGTATCTAAACCAAGCAAACGGAGGCATAGATAGAGTTCAATCAGTTGTTCCAGCCCAAGAACAGCTAACCAAAACCAAATCCCCATCAAGCAAATAAACTGGTTCTTAATATAAAACAAAAACTAAAGTACATCAACAAGCATTGACCAAATACTACCATTTCTTTCTGCTGATTCAGCTTCTGTTTTTCACTTTCAGTTAGCGCTTCGCGCTGCTTCAAATCATTTTCACGCATCATAAGTTCTTGTTTTCTTGCTTCTAACTGCAAATTACTTCTCTTGTGCTCATTCAGAACGTGTTGTAGCTCCGCATTTTGAATTTGCTGCATCTTTTTCATCTCTAAAAATCAAAATAGAAAACAACCAACAATGTCAATCTGACATTTTTATGCTACAAATATTTTTGCTAAATTGTGGATATTATGAGATTTTGTTTTTACAGAAAAAAATAACAATTTAACGATAATAAATGTACAAGGTACAAGGCTAAAGTAGAAGAGAGGCATTCATAGCAATATACCTTCATTATAACCTTCAATCATATCTTCTTTTTGCTTCATCACATTGCTTAGAAGAACTTCCGTTCTACTGATCTTCTTTTTCAGCTGTTCACATTTCTGACTTTTAATTACCAATTCATTGGCCAAGTTGCTCATTAGGAAGTTATCTTTTCTTTTATCTTCCGTTTCTTTCCCTGAAATAGTCTTCAAATCTCCATTTTTACGAAGATATTCGCCAATGGGACCCTTCAATTTGAAATCTTCTTCACGGGCAACCCAAGCATAGAGCTCATTTCCTTTATCCCTCTTCATCTCCCAATCCCTCTTCCCATGATGATCAATTTCAAAATCTTTCTCAAATGTCATGGCATTTGTAAACCCTGTCCAATCCTTTTTGAACTCAACTATAGCAAATCCTGTGTGACCACGAAAAGTCCAACACATGTGTACTCTTAGCGGGTTATATCCTTTGGCTGTCCACTCATCTCTTAACCTTGATCCGCTTTCACCAACATACTTGCCGTTCTGAAACACAACAGGAATATTTGCTACTACAGCCATCAAAGGCCAAACAATTAGCTCATCTTTGGCTCGGCTAATTGATGGTTCATCAGCAGTTGAATAAGAAACTAATGGTGGTTCAGTAAATTTTACAGAGGGTGATTTTGATGTCAAATTTTCATCATTCTTCACTGACTCATTTTTTTCATCAGGCAACAGAACATCTTCAATTAAGTCATCAATTTCTCCACTCTCTCTATCAGACCACATTTTGTAGGCACTTTTACCATAGTTCCCAGAACGCTGAAGTTTCCATGATTTGCTCCCTGCATCTCTGCAGACATCTGCTTTCTCTTGATCCCTGCTCTTTTGTTCAGAAAATTTTTCTCCTCTATCTTCAAGCCTTTGCAAATATTTAAGCAATCCCAAATGCTTAGCTTTCTCTTTGAATGTAGAGCTTTTCGAGTATTTGCCAATGCGAGAAGAATGGCTCATGAGCTCATGGAACTCATATTCTCTCCTTCTCTTATCTGGACAGTACGGACAGAAGAGAAAACCATGGGAACTTTGAATTCTGACCTTCTCATCTCTTAGATCCTTGTAATACTCATACTTTAAGTCATCCAGCTCTGAATCATACCTTCTGTCAGTCCTCAGTTTTTTTGGCCAAGACATTATTATCTGAAATGATTTCAAATAAGATCACACGTCAGGAGAGGCAGCTCCCTGGAGAAGACAACTAGGATAATTCTACAAAGTTTCACTAAACAGTGTAGAATTTCAGGTCATCCAGCGGGTTGGAGTTAATCATTCTTTGAAAGCACAAGACATGAAAAGCTAAGACCCAAAGATTTTCCAATATTTAGACTTATTAGAATAATGTTTAATCATGGCATCAACTGCAGCCCTTGCACAATGCATCAATTGCACATTCATGGGAAACAAAAGCTAAATGCAATTTGAGAAAGGAAGGGGGCAGGGGAGCACTGCTGGAAATGTTTGAAGAAGGACATGGCAGTTAATGGATTATGCCACGCCTAAGGATCATGGCATACAGATATTAAGTTCTAAGTGTAAAGTGTATAACATCCAGAATTTATTGAAATTCAATGACTCTACTTCATTATGCCAATTAATTAGGACTCTAAAGAAAAAGGAAGGTTTGCTTTGCCAAGGAGATTCTCAGAACACGCCAAAACAGAGCATTTCTACAACATCTGAAATAAGATGCAGTGCTGCAAAATAAACAAAACACACAACCAACAACTTCAAACTCCAGAGAGGACACAGAAGATTATCTCAATCAACATTCTCGTATCCAAAAGATTATCTGATAAGGAACAACACGCAAACAACGGAAAAATCCATTAACATTAACACAGTTTTAATCCTAATATCCACCTAAGGGATAAGACACATACCCCAACTACAGAAAAGAAAGAAAACAAACACAATAATACTAACACTCACTATGACAGATTTTTAATCTGTTTATGTGTATTAAACCTCATACATTAGCACAACATTTTCATTGCCACGGAAAAGAACATAATAATAATTGAAACATCCAGTTATGGAAAAACCAGTAAAAGTGCTACAAACATTCCACCCAAGGCTTCTGAAAATTACGCTGCAACAGCTCTAGAGAAGGACGAAAAGCCTTCCAAGAGGTTCATTTTCAGCAAATATGAGTGATCATATCTAGCACTAAAGATTTCCATCAAGTTTGGTCTCACAAACAGAAATTCCGACCTTGATTTTGTTTCAGTTTTCATTAACAGAAAAAAGGGAACTCTTGTTTTAGTGAAACCAGAAAATCCAAAACCAAAAAAAAAAATTCTATTCCATCATCAAGCACGGCATTAAGCAAATACAAACACCAAACTCCAAAATCCCTCAAGAATAAAAAAATCAATTCCATCATCAAGCACGGCACTAAGCAAATACAGACACAAATCATAGCCCATTTCACTCCAGAACTCAAAAAGGATCATCGAAACATAAGTTGCATCGCAACGAAATAAGTCGATAAAGTACACAAATTTTATGGAAAAAAAAATTAACAAACACACGAACACACACACACACACACACACACAATACTTGACTAAATTCTTTGCCTGGGTTTTCGAAAACTTACTCGAAGATCAAAGCGTTTGTAGTGGGCAGCAACAATTTATCACCAATTTGAAAGAATGGCGGAAACCAGAAGGGGGGCGGAAATTGGAGAGACGGAAGAGAATATATAGGGTTTAATTAAGAGAGAGATGAAAAAAAACATTTTGGAGTTTTTCAGGGAAAAAATTGGTAAGTGAGAAAGAGGGGGCGGAGGAGAAGTGAACTGAAGCAAGTGAAGCGTGAAGCGCCAAATTTTTGCCGAGAACGGAAATGTGTTTATTTTAGTATTTGTTCAAAACGCAAGTTACGATCACTCGCATTTGTCGAAGCGTGACGAGTACGGTTAAAGGAGAATATGCCAGGTGGACGGTTAAGATGAACTGGTAAGAAGTTGGGAAGTACACTGTCCGTTGGGTTTTCAAGATTGTTCAGGTGTTCCTCAGCATAATTTACATATGCACAGTACACCACGAATCAGATGATAAGTTGACTGGATTTCAACCTGCTTCGTTTAACTAAGGCTATGTACTGTACTATGTATCCTATCCTGAAAAATCAAATTTCAATCCAACTTTTTTTACATTTTTTATACATTTAATTTAGGAAAAATGATACTACTCCCTCCATTCTATTTCAATAGGCTCATTTCTCCTTTTAGAATGTTTCAAAACTTAATCCCACTTCAGACAATTAATCAACTTTTTCTATAAACTTTCTAATATACCCTTCCCACATTCACTCAAATCAAGAACATTTAATTAATTTTAATTATTACTCTCTCGTATCAATTAATAACTCATTAGTCATTAATAAAGGTGTGGTGAGAATTTTATTTAAAATTAACTACATAAACTATATTACCCACTTTTTCTTAATCGTCATGTATGTCTAAATGGGCCTATTGAATTAGAATAGAAAGAGTAAAAATTAATACTCCCTCCATTTTTAAAATAGATGTCATTATAGGGTTTAAAATTGTTTTAGAAAATATATGTAGTTTTACAAAATCGATCCCACTTTTATCCCATTTTTTCAATATCTTTTCATTGGAAATGAAGTAAATTTTAAAATATGATTGTAATGGTTGTTGATGAGTTGTTTTAATAATAACTAAGGGTAATTTTGTATTTTAAACACACTATGTAATGTTTCATTAGTATTAATGAAATTACTAGAAAAATATATATATTGGAATTGAGGGATGACTGATTTGACACTTATGAAAATACATTAATGACCCCTTTTTTATATTGAAGTAGTACAGTATATTTTTTATCATTATTATAGTCACTATCTCCATCATTACTCCTTATTTCAGTTTTAAACTATGAAGAATAAATGTTAGCTCATTTTCATCCTGGAAATCCTTAGAAAGAAATAAAGTATAAAAGTACCTGGGGAAAAAAGGACTCATTTGGATTTTCGATTATTTACATAGGGACCTTAGGGTATTCATGCTTCATAGTTACAAACCAAACCCTTAATTAAGATTCTAGATCATTTCAAATCTAAATCATTCTAGAAAATATATAACATAACATCTACTTTATAGCATGTTAAATTACAATTCTTATACTTTATTGATTTTTTAATATAAATACAATACCAGTAATACTCAATATTTTATTTGTTTTTATGATAAAGCGGCTCCAATTTTTATTGGAATTGTAGATTTTGAGCTTATTTGCTACGGATTATCTAATTTTTATTTGAAATAGAGCCGCTTTATCATAAAGCTCATAATCTAAAAGAGAATTTGAACCAAACCATTCTTGTTACATAAGTATCTTATTGGGAAGATATCGTATAAAATTATCTATCTTTCATTAAATTATTGTTACAATAAAAGCATATTTTTTCTCATTTAGTCGCCTGTTACCATTAGTTATTTTTGAGAAGTCAGTTATGAAAGTTTTTTGATATTGGGTTTGACTCAATACTAGCAGCTGGACTTAGGTCCACTAAAATTATTGGCTCAATTCAAAACTATTTTTAATGCAATCTGCAATGTACTACAATTTTTTGTGACATAAAATTTCATTAGCTACTAGATGGATTAGACGCACTTCGCGCGTACATATTGTCTCTACACTATCTACCAAATATTAATAATTTAACAATTTTAATGATAGTAATATGATCATTATAAGAACAAAATGAATTAGCTAAAGCGTATTACTTTTGAATTTCAACAAAGTGAGACAAAGACCATGCAAAGTGAAACAAAGACCATGCAAAGTGAGAAATAAAATAAAATCAAATGTATTACCTTAAAATAAAGAACAACCAAAATAAGAAGAAAAAATCTAAAACAAAAACTAAATTGTGGAAGAAAAATATGAAAATGAACAACGAAAGACCTCTAATAAATTTGAGATAGAGAGATAAAAAACAACGGCTTAGAAAGAAAGGAGTAGTAAAATTAACAAAATAATTATATATAGGTGATGTATGACTTTTAATTTTTTATTTATTTATTGAACAATTTAAAATATCATTAATGAACCTTTTAAATTCAAAAAAGAGATGGAAAGAAGAAAAGACAAAATATGGAGTGGTTAGAAATTTAGGATTACCGAAACTTTTTTTAACTGATCAAATTCACCTAATAATGAGAATTAATTTTTCTGTAGTTTTCATAATAATAATAATAATAATAATAATAATAATAATAAAAGAAGAAATTACTAAAAGTAACATTAAAGATTCATTATATTGTTAACAATAATTAATTATAAAGTAATCATCTAAGAGTAGTGGGGATCAAAAAAAAAAACAAAGAGACATAATTAATCATGAGTAGTGGAGATGAAAATGAAAACAAAGAGACATAACCGTTTGGGAAGGAAAAAAATATATAAATGAACTTGATAATTATATTTAAAGAGTACTACCAAATTCAATCTTACATTCAGCAATTATAATATATGTTGATTAAATTGCAAGGTAAATTTTGTGTGAAAAAATAATAAGTAAATTCAGTAGGCATTTTTTTTCTTTTTCTTTTTCATTTTTGAAACAAAGTAGGAATACATTGAGTGCATTGAGTTAATTCTGCATATAGATTTTGAAATTGAGATAAAAGAATTGTGAAGTGAAAATCAAAATGCTTGAAACGTTCTCTAATATACTCGTTACGATAATAATAAAATGGGCAAACTATATTTTACCCCGTAAACAAGGGGTTAAATATTAAAATGACAAAAATGACCCCGGTTCACATACACTTGATTTTCTTTTCTCCTTTTTGATTTGTTTTTCTTCATTTTTTTATCATTAAAAATAAAAATTACTTAAGTTGTCATTTTCAAATTCAATCGTAACAAGTTAATATATGAAAGTTAATCCATGATTAATAATATAAGCTTATTATAATTTTAAAAAAAAGTTAATTTGTGAAAATAATTTTTATTTCAAAAGACATGGTATCGTTAATGCCGAATTTAATTATTTAAATGTATGAGATAAAAGAATTAATATAGAAAACTTTTTTAATTTAACTTATGATTTATAGTTTAAAAAAACATTTATACTGTATAATCTATATATATAGATTAAAGGGTATTTTTGACCTTTTACACAAAATTGATGATAGTGTTTATATGTTAAGGTGGTATTTTGTAGGTTGATGATGAGTCAAGGGAGTATATGATAGTGTTACTAAAACTCGGGTGGTTTATGGTAGATTCAACCAAAACTCGAGGGGTAAAATGTAATTCGCCCTAATAAAATTGTTCCACAAAGGCACAAAGCCTAAGCACTTTTTTTTGGAACAGAGCTGTAAAAATAATAGAAAGAGTAATAGCTAATTTTATTTTATTTTTTGTTATATATATGTAAAACTTACAAAAGTTTAACTCTATTTTGAAAATTCATAATAATACACTCTGTTAATATTTAAATCGATCCGACCCTTTTAAACAAAGGACCCGATAAGGTTATTCAGTCATTTAGACTGAGATAAACGGCGGTGGCAACCCCAATCGCGTAGACTCCGATCACCGTCCCAACCACTTCCCTCCCCGGCCGAACCACCATCCCCACCCCAGCAATTCCGGCGATACCGACAGGAACCCGTTTCAAAACCTCGTTACGCGCGTTCGAAACTACGACGTCCGAGAAAACATCCACCGAGAACTCCTTGAACTCCCCGTCGCCCAGCACCACCTCGGCCTTGCTTCCCACTTCTTGACCCGACCCGGAACCTGACTCGCGGAGACGGGCCTGCAGGGATTTTAAAGCCCGGTCGACTTGTTCCCTGGTCGGAGGAGACGGAGCCCACTTCTTAATCAAAGGTACGGGGGAAGAATTGCTGACGAGAGCCTGGTGGAGGCGTTCTGCAGCGGAGAAGAGCTGGTATGGTTTGATTCCGGCGAAAGCGTGCTGGGCCAGGGCGACTTCGGTTTGAAAGACTGATTCGCAGGCGGAATTGAATTCCGGCGAGTTCTTCAGAGCGTGATAAACTCTTTTTGAAGGGGATCCTCCCATATTCTATAGACGTGCTTCGCCAACGATCAATTGTGGCAGAAACTTTGTTAATTGGGTGTGAACTATTGGAAGGTTGGAAGTATTGTACAAAAGCAGATTGAAGGATTTTGTAATTTATATGGATTTGTGGGGGAAATTCCCTTTGTATTTTAGTGTCAATTTTTGTTGTCTAATTTTCAATTGATTTGCGAATGGTGATAATGAAATTTGAGAGCTCAGCCCAGTTTTTAGATGCTGGCTTACCGTCGGAATCCTATGTATCGAAGTTGCTAAAAATGGAGAAAAAAGACGAATTATTACAAAATTACGTTCAGGTATAAACTATCCCAAGAATATATTGTCAAAACTACGATTCACTAGTTCAACAATCCCTTTTACCCTATTAAAGCAGAAGACATGAAACTTATGTGGCAACTAAGTATGTATCTGTTTTGGCTCCAATGCACCATATTTCGATTTTGAGAGTTTTTTGCACGTGTAAGTCTCTTTTAATTAGAAGTTATATAATTTTTTTTTTAAAAAAAAACACATGTTTTACTACAAATAAGAATCAGTTACATTTCAAACGAATGGATATATTAATTCAAATTCAAATGTCCAATCGTATAGTTTTGCAGGCTTAATATAAAGAAAAAATAAAAATACATAAATCCAGCAATTAAGAATAATACCTTATAAACTAATTATTTATTGTTCCCTTATAACCTCATATTTATAGGTATATTTTTTTAAGCCCCAGATCATAGCATAAATGATATATACGCCAAATTAATTCCTCAAAAAATAGTAATTCAATTAGATTTTAATAAAATAGTAATTTAGAAGGGGCGCTCGAGCATCCCTTTTACCCTATTAAAGCAGAAGACATGAAGCTTATGTGGCAACTAAGTATGCATCTGTTTTGGCTCCAATGCACCATATTTCAGATTTCAGGAGTCTTTTTGCCACGTGTAAGTCTCTTTTAATTAGAAGGTATATAATTTTTTTTTTAAAAAAAAACACATGTTTTACTATAAATAAGGATCAGTTACATTTCAAACGAATGGATATATTAATTCAAATTCAAATGTCCAATCGTATAGTTTTGCAGGCTTAATATAAAGAAAAATAAAAATACCTAAATCCAGCAATTAAGAATAATGCCTTATAAACTAATTATTTATTATTCCCTTATAACCTCAGATTTATAGGTATATTTTTTTAAGCCCCAAATCATAGCATAAATGATATATACGCCAAATTAATTCCTCAAAAATAGTAATTCAATTAGATTTTAATAAAATAGTAATTTAAAAGAGGCGTCCGGGCATCTGCCTGGGCCAAACATCTAGTATAACATTATAGTTATGAGATTAGAAGGTGTTCTCATCATGTCGAACTAGGTTTTAAATGATTTAAATTTAAAGTGTAACACCTTAGCATAATTTAATAACGATTTCTTTTTGCTTGGACCATCAATCTAAAAGTGTGTCTAATGCTATCCTTGATGAATGGTCCACTCTAATGAAAATTTTCATTAGAACATGTGTCAGTACCAACATGAAAATTTTTCTGTCAAAATTTATTTTCAGTACAAAATAATTTTTGACACGTGACACTCTGACTAATCAGAAAAAAAAGATGGAATAAATACATATAAATGAATTCCTTAATTATAACTATATAAAAATATTTTAATTATAAGTATATACTAATCCCTTAAAAGAACAATATTTAGTTGATAAAATTAAATGTCATAAAATCCCCTTAAATCAAGTTAAATAGCACTGCTATAACATCTCCCCAATCCCCAATCCAAAGGATCTCTTCTATTTCGCTCTTCTTTTAAGCCCAAGCCTTTAAATCAATTACTTAAAATGTGACATAAATTATCAATCCATCTCTTTCTACAACAGTTGAAAAAGAAGCAGTCATGGAAGGAAATTTGATTTTTAAGGATGATTATTTTTTTTTGTATTCTTCTGTTGTAGATATTAGTTTATTATTTATGTAAACTCGGGCATAAGTTAACTGTTGTAAACTCTGACATAGATTTATGTGTAGTAACTCAGTTCATGTCCTTTCAATCGATTTTTTATTCTTTTTTTATTCTTTTAAAGATGATTTTTTTTATTTAATTGATTTAAAAATACAGGCGACACTCCGAGCATTCGGCCATGGCAGTATCTAGTATATTTATATACAGAGAAAACGTAATGCGTAGTTTACAAAATGGCTCCGTGAGAAGGAATCAGACAATCAAAATATAGTTTATCTAATGAAGGGGGTGTTGTCAAAATACGTAATCCCAGGAGTTGAGTAGCCAATTTTTACTAATGAGTCTGCTACTTTGTTACCGTTTCGCCTAATGTGTTGAATTTCTATTGTCTAGTATTGGTTAAGCATGAGAAGTATTCTGCTTAGGACATTGCTTGGATGGGCTGGACTTGTCTCCTCCTTGAGTGCTTGGCTACTAATGTGCTGTCCATTTGTAATTGGACCTTGCGGAAGCCCAATTGCCAAGAGATTTGAAGCTCAAAAAAGAACCCCCATCCCATAATATTGAATGGATTTGATCAATAGAAAATGTAATAATGATAGTTTGGATATATGAAGCCCATAAGTTTGGATAGAAAATGTAATAATGTAATAAGTTTTCCCTCCCTTACTTGGTCACTTCTGACCCTTACTATATACGTATATATATGAAGCCCACATGGACCTCTTTGCACCAACCCATCAGGAACAGTAATGGAGATTGGATTATTAGTTATGCATAATTCTGGGGCCATTCCATGAATTACAAATTGTTTGGAGATTAACACAATCAGGAGATTCACTACCACATCAGCTTATAACCTGTTAATGGAAGAGTCTTGGGATAATGATGATAGTGAGTGGAAGTTGTTGTGGAGCTGGAAGGGGCCGGAAAGGATTAAAACTTTCCTTTGGTTATGTTTAAAAGGGGTATTAATGACGAATGCGGAACGGAAGAGACGGCACCTTACTGATGATGGAAATTGCCATTTTTGTGGAAGAAAAGAAGATCTAATTCATGTCTTTCGTGATTGTTTTAGAAGTACAGAATTATGGCGCAGCATCAAGCCGTCCCTAGGAGCTGATTTCTGGTATGTTGGCAACTGGAAATCTTGGTTTATTTCTAATTTAAAATCTGTGACTTTTTAGGAACAACACAAATGGTCAATGTTGTTTGCAGTTGCATGTTGGAAGCTATGGAAAACGAGAAATCCAAAGAGTACTTAAAACCTCAACGGCAGCCTTGGTCAGGGAGATTGGTCGTTTGAACCTTATTTTTGCCCAGCAGAACGACAAATCCAGAACCAACCCCACACAACAAATCTGGGAACCACCACTGGGAAGAACAATTAAAATCAACTCAGACGGAGCGGTGGCAAAATCAAGGAAAGCAGCTGCAGGAGGTGTACTAAAAAATGGTGATGGAGATTGGATCATTGGATACGCTGCCAATCTAGGCTGCTGTAGCGTATTGGAAGCAGAGCTCTGGGGGTCCTATTCGGCCTCCGGATTGCTTGGCGGTTAGGCTTGAGAAATATACAAGTGGATTTAGACTCCCTGGGGGCGTTCGATCTTTTGTCAAACGAGGACTCCTCGTTTGTAAACAACCATGTCCTTGTCCGAATTGGGTCTCTTCTTTGGCTCAACTGGAGGTGACAATAAAACACGTACGCCGTAATTAGAATATGGTGGCGGACGAACTCGCAAAGTTCGGATTGTTATGGTCAGTTGGGTTTCACATTCTGTCAACGCCCCCTTTTGCTGCTAAGGAAAAGCTAGAAAGTGATAAAGTTAGGATCGCCCCGTAACCTAAGGGATGTTTTGTAAGTAAAAGCCATGCTTAGGCTTCCTTCGTATATAAAAAAAAAATAAAATTGCGTGGGACTTGGTTTTAGAAGTGTACTAGTAGAACTAGAGTCCTTGAAAACTATTGAATCGATGTCTAAGGAGAATTATGTTTGTGTTAATAGTAATGTTTTTAACAAATATAAAAAACTCCTCCACCTCAACTGGCATGTATTCATAGGTCATGTGTGTCCTCATCAAAATAAGTTAGTAGACTCATTAGTCAAATTAGGGTTTTCATGCCCACCAGATAGACATATTTTGTCAACACCCCCGTCTAGTGTTATAGACTTAGTGATTGCGAATAAGCTATTTGCTTCCCTTCACAAATAAGGACTTTTGTAACAAAGCCTCCACTTCGCTTATATATAAAGACAAAATACACTTTTCGTCCCCAGTTTTTGGGAGTAGTAAGATTGAGTCACTATGAAATTTTAATTGGCAAAAATAGTTCTCTGAAATATTTTTTTCATCAATTTTGGTCAAATTTAACAGAAATTTTTAGTCAACTAACGGTCAAGCCCTTTCCTTCGTTAATTTTTTAATTTTTATTATTTTCTTCCTAATTGCAGGGCCCATAAACACTAATCAGCCAAAACAAAATTCTTTTTTCTTTTTTCGTTTCTGAAAAAAATGGAGGAAAGGAGCGGCGGCGGAAATATTTTTTTCATCAATGAGGCGCCGGAATTAGAATGAGCCGACGGACGAAGCAATCGGCGGAACGAGCTCTGGAATTGATGCGGCAGAGACACGTTCGCAAAATCCCATACAATCTTGCCCAAGCCCAATGGTGTACCTTCCTTTACTTGCTCCATCATAAGCCTCCAAAACTTCCTGCAACAAGAATTAAACTTTGACAGTGAAAACTTTTGTTCACCGAAATTCAACAGACATGGACCCACGAATGAAAAGGCTTAAATGTATGAATTTTGCCAGAGAATCTGTTAACAGATCTTCAATCATGGCAATCCGGCAAAAGGAAACCGCAGGAAATTAACTAGAACCAGTTCCCTTTCAAACAAAAAAAAATTTAAGAATAAAAATAATCAACAGCCCACATGCCCGATTAAATAACCCAACAAAAGTCCAGTTTCTGAGCAGAAGAAAAGCTTGAATTTTGAAAAAGAAATGTTGTAAAATGGAGATGGAAGGAAATAATTACTTGGACGTCATTCTCCCTTCTTTGCAATTTTCGGAGAGACCTGAAAATTAGAAAAGCATAGAAACCACTCGAATCATCATAGTAATGGCAAAACTCCACCAAAATAAAATTAAGAAATTCATATGGACATAACCAAAACAACCCATTATAAGAAGAAAAGGAAATAGCGAACGATCGATTATAAACCTCTCTTCGTTACCGATTTTCTAGGTTTTCCCCTCCCTTTTTTCCTCAATATTATATAAGACTCCGAGT